GGAAAAAGCCCCAACAGGGAGGGGCCCGCGGATTAAAAAAAAAAAAAAAAAAAAAAAGGATCCAAAATGTAGCATGCTGTTTTCTTCAATTAAATCCACTATATTTATGAGGATAATTAAGACTCTTATATTTCAATGTGACTAAGTGAGGGCGGTTTTTTTGCTTTTAATTTCTAGGTTATTAAAGCCCAGGTCAAGGACTTGATGATTCCACGATATAAGGTAATTGTGATGGTTCACATTGGACAACTGACTGGCCAGAGCATACTGATTGGAAGCAGATGCCTCTGGGATCCTAAAAATGATACCTTTGCATCTTACATTTTCAGAAACTCTTCTCTCTTTGCTCTTGCAAATGTCTACACAGTTTACTTTGAGTGACTGAAAACAAGAAATCTAGTTCATACTTTTTAAATTAAGAAATAGGCTGTATCTTTGTACACAAGTTTCACTGCCCAGACGTTTGAGAAAGACACAACACTAATATTTCAAACAACTGGAAGTTTGGGGACTTTTTCATACTCTTGTAAGTATGAAAGAGTATACTTACTCTTTGGGGGAGAGAAGGTGGCACAAGAAAGAATCTTGTTTATCCAAAGAAGGAACTAAGTCTTGGTTCTGCTGGACTGTTTTTTCATAGACATAGATTCTTATTAAATATTGCCTTGGGTACTAATTATTTTAATTACACTTTAATTAGAGAGTTAGAATTCCCTGCATTATTTTTTTAATGAAGAGAAGTCTTTAAAAATATGGCTATGTACCCTGACCAATAAATGACGGTAGCATATTCAATGTGGCATACACAAATGATCAATGGTACTCTGTCTCAGTGCTGTGTATAAAAGAATACTGGTTTTCATTTTGTTTTTAATAAGTTAAGCAGAATTCATTAACTGCAATTATTGTTATATGTACCTGACAGTTGAAACTGCTAATGTAGAATTAATGATTTCATAACAATTATCGTAGTCCCACAGGACTGCTAGCTAAAACTAGAAGCTCTTGTGGGTTGCCTGCACTTTACAAAATTGTGGGAGAACCAAATATTAGCTCTTCAATAATGGAAACAACAAAATGAACAAAGGCTTTTTAGGGCACTGAAGTAGAGGTTGTGATATTAAATATACATGATGCTTAATAGTAAGTGTATCTTTAACATAAAATCATGTATTGGAAAGAGACACTGCTTTTAAATTTACACTGCCTGATACACCTTTCAATAGGTTGCCTAGACTAACAGACTTTTACACAAAATATATAGCTGGCAGCTTAACAGATAAAACATGTGTATTTACTATTTTGTTCCTATGAATTTAATACTAAAGTGACCCAGTGTGGTTTTGAATGGATGGCACTAAAATTTACAGGGCCGCAATAGCTTATTATTCTGTGGGTTACTGTAGCTTATAACATGGATCATTTATTTTTATGGAGCTTTCAGCCCTTTGTGTGCATGTAAAATGGTGCTGTGACATTGTTCTTGGATGGTAAGTGGTCTGCCTAGAGGACATTTGTTAAAGGTCAAAGATGAAGTGTACACATATGGAGAAAATTAGCAACTCTATAGTCCTAAGGAAAAAATGATGTGTAATTCATATCAAAATGAATTTAACAAATGGGAAAATAGTCAGTGCTTTATAATCATGTACTGATGTCTTATTTTTCCCTCAAGATGACGTGTATTTTTTTTTTAAGTATACTTTTTAAATCCCTTTTCTTCTCTTTGTCCTGGCTTTTAAGGTAGCATTTCAAAATGCATTAGTCAATTTTCATTGTTTTTTTTTGTTAGTGCCTTAGTGGGAATATGTCTGTGTAATAATTTATCACAACCAAGATTTCTTGATCTTCATAGCCAGTGTTGAATCTGGATTAGATCATAAGTACAGTACATAAATGAGTTTTATATATTCACTATACATTTATGAACATCTCTCCTCTTAGAACAATAGCAGGGGAAATCATATAGCAATTTTGCATGAATAAATCAGTATGAAGAAAATTTTTTTAGTATGTAGAAAGTCCATTATAAAAATGTCCTTATTTTTTAGAGTTATAAAATCTCAACCATGAGATAATTTCTTACCATCTGTCTTAGGCTATATAAGGATTCAAAACCTTACAATACGATGGCAGTTAAAAATCAGAAAAAGGAAGTGGTTTGCCAGCATATTGCTTTGTACTGTAATTCAGGTAGTCAATGATGAATTCTAGCAATTATATAACAGCATAAAAATATATAGTAAAAACTTACTAATTGTAACTAACTTGGAGGAATGCTGATTATTTAAAAAAGCTTTGTGATGGGAAATTTTGATAGACATATTAGCTAACACCTATTGCAGCCAATAAATGTATCAAATTAATATGCTGTATACCTTAAAATTATACAATGTTCTGTCAATTATATCTCAATTTTAAAATAAACATTTTTTAAAAAATAAATGACACTAAATTTGGGGGAATTGTTTTACTTTGAAATCCACTGAACTCTCCTGGTGTTTTTTCTTCTCAATAGATGTTCTTAAAGTGCCATCCCTACCTCACAGCCTTGACTCATGCTTGTGCCTAGCTCAGAACACCCTCCTTCCACTTAGAGCAGCTTCCTTCAATTTTCAGCATTAAACTCAGGTGTCACCTTTTCTCTAAATCTTTCTCCATTCATTTCTCCCCTCCCATCCTTTCTCTTCTTTCATCACTCTCATGGCTGAGCCCCTGATTCTTCTCTAGCTGAGTTTTAAATAATAGCTTTGTTTCCCTTACTAGATTGAAAACATCTTGAGTATATGGACCACATATCCTGACAACACCTAAGAATAAAATGTAATACATCTTAACTTTTCAAGAAAGAATCGCAAGCATTGATAGTACTATGCTACATAATTACCAACCAAAAAGGTAATAGGACACAGAGTTCAACCCTAGAAGACCTAGGATCCTATAGGGGTGATAAGTATACAAGTGACCATGGTACAGGCTAGAATATGTCTTCATAAGAAAAGTCCAGAATATCTTTATATAATTAAGGGAATCATAGAAGGCTTCATGAAGGAAGAAGCACTTATCTATACTATGAAGGTGACAAGTAGAATTTCAACAGACACAGAAGTTCAGAATACAGGAAGAAGTCTAGACTGGATAAAACAGTGTTCATGAATGAAGATAAGTGGCTGGAACTAAGATTGGTAACCTGAATGTCTGAGTACGAAAAAGACACTCAGACCATCGGTAGCCATCAAAGGCTTTTCATTAGGCTGATTGTATACATGAACTGACTCTTTAAGAAGATGAATGCATCAGTAAAGAGCAGGAAGACCACTTAGGAGAGGTGACAGGTAATGAGGGGCTGAACTCAGCGGTGCCATTGAAATGGAAAGGAGAAGACAGTTGTACGAACATTTTAGGGACAAAGTCTACATAATCAGGCAAAGAGGAAGGAGTCAGAGGTAATTAAGGCAAAGTGAAAAGGTGGTTGAAGGTTTCAAGCTCTGACGTTTGCAGCCTCAGGTCTGAGTCCTTCCATCCCAGTCACTAGTTAAGTGATCTTAAATAAATCACCAACCCCACTATGCTGCAGCTTCCCCATCTTAAAGTAATGATAGTTCTGGTACCTACCTCGCAGGGTTTTGGTGAGAATTAAATCCATATGTTAGCTAAGCTCTTCACAGCACCATGCCTAAAAGGAAGCCCTATGATTGCAGCTCCTATGATTGCAGTTGAAAGTCTGAGTCCGAGTAACCAGATCAATGGTCCTCCTAGCAAAAATAAAGTCAGCAG